TTCCTGCAAGAAGAAATAAATGTACTGTATTGGCTGAGTACACACAGCCAAGTAAGAGCAATGGTCAGCTTAGCCATGTTCTAGAAGAGGAGGCCAGAGAGATGTTTGGGATGGGTGAGCCTTTAAGCGTCCCCTGTTGGCCACAGACCTGATAACCCAAGTGAAATTGGTCCATGTCATGGGACCATGGCATACTTCTCTGATTTTACACTTTCCTGTTCACATGTAAACATGCACATAGCAAGAAACCAAGATGTATGAGTTTCTGATGTCATAAATGCATCTTCTTCAAAGACATCTCTAGAGCTTTAGAAGTAGTGGTCTCACTCTCACATTAATTGATTTGGTACAATATGTAAATGTATCTCATCCTTCCCCCAAAGAACTCAAACAAGAGTATGCAAGGTTGTCAACCCATCTCCCAGCCAAGTACTGGCTGAGTCCTGATCTCCTTACTTTCAAATATGAAGCTCTGAAGGATGAACTCCACCAGAGACAAAGAATGGCTAAAAACATATCAGAATGGAGCTGACCTTTTAGTGACGTGAAAATTCACCAACCACCTCTTCTCAGGTCCTCATCAGACCGTTCTCTAGGCAAGACATGGGCAACCTGAGAGTGTACAGATCTTTATACTCTAATGCTTGGAAAGTTGGGTTTTAAAAAAATTTGTTGATTACTCATTAAATCCCCACAACCAGCTTATCATTATCACCTTCGGTATTCCAACTGGAAGAGTTATTGGTTGTGCTACAAATTATGAATGCATGGTGGTGGTGTTGCCAACAGGCTAGGAAAATACAAAGAAACTTTCTCTGTTCCCTTTAGTGACAAAATTTATACTGCATTCTGCAAAAAAAAATTTAAAAAATGCAAAAGACATAGCCAAAGAATACTTATTTCCCTTGCCACTTAGGCTTAATAAAAGAATTACATAAAATCTGGAAAATTCCTGTTAAAATATCTATAAAACAAGTTAAAATGTCTTTAAATCTCTTGAAAGTATCTAGAAAATATAGTTCATTATATTAAATAACTTTTAACCATTGGTTATCTAATTTTCACTGTAACTTTGTTACTACTCATTACATTACTCATTATCCAAAATGTAACTGGTCACAGGTTTCTATGTTACAGTAGTTGAAACCAACTTCCAAGCTCTGATTAGAATCCAACTTGCCCTTCCTTGACCATTCATTCACCTTGCTGGCTGGAGTTGACAAGAATTAAAGTCTAATAACATCTCAAGGCTGCAGGTTACCCAATACTAATCTAGAAAATGGCTTTTATAACACCTGCCTTACTTTCTGATGCATGTGTTTATTCATTTTAACCTCCCATATGAGTTTTAAAAGAAGGCTAAACAATATTATGCCATAGAAAACTGGGAGTTCCAGTTAAGATTCTTAATCACACACATATACACACTTGACCATGGCACTATATTTTGCCTGCCCATTTTTCCTTGTGCAACAGACTGAAGGTGGGTATGTTGCACTGGGTAATTGGCACGGGGAATGGGGTAAAATCCCTCCCCCACAGGCATGCTAGTCACATTTAACCCACAGCTCAACTGCTGCTTTTAACAAAAAGATGACAACATGAGAGTTACAGCACATGTACCTTAGTTCCAAACAGGGTAAGTAATGGTTGTTTTTCAGGCTCTTTGGCCATGTTCTGAAGGTTGTTCTTCCTGATGTTTTGCCAGTCTCTGTGGCCGGCATCTTCAGAGGACTGGAGTAGGAACTCTGAAGATGTCAACTAAGAGACTGGTGAAAGGTCAGGAAAAACAATCTTCAGAACATGGCCAAAGAGCCCGAAAAACCCAGAACAACCATTAGATCCCAGCTGCGAAAGCCTTCACGAATACAAGATAAGTAATATTGAAAGCAGACAAGAATGAGGGATACAGGTTGTCCAGCCCATTGAATCTCACTCAGCAAATTAGCTAATGAGGTTGCACCAAGGAGGAACTTGTTAAAATGCATTATTCTACTGGTGAATTTATGCAGTATGAGCTACAGCATGAATTTGACACAACTCCAGGAGGCAGTGGAAGACAGGAGGGCCTGGCGTGCTCTGGTCTATGGGGTCACGAAGAGTCGGACACAACTAAATGACTAAACAACGATGATGAGCTACAGCATTCTGTACTCACATACCCTGGAAATATCATGGATACACCAGTGAATTACAGTGAGCAGTCTCTGGATTGTCCTCTATGTTTCCCCGATGGACTTCAGATCTTCATTCTGTTGGTCACAACCCCTTAATCACACTTCCTGATTTTACACAAATGTAAGCTTTACCTTTCAGCATCAAATGCTCTTATCTCTCCCCTCCCCCTGCAGTTCTATGGGTTCCTGTTCCACAAATGGAACCAGTAAGTTGCCAGACTGTTAAAGCTTTGTTACTAACTTGCTCACATTTCCATTCATAAGAATATGCATTTATGACAGTGAGAAAAGTATATAACACATATTATTCCCTACAGCTTTGTAAAAGGGGAAGAAAAGTGAAATAAAAATCATTCATGGTCTGTAAAACATATTTGTACTCAGTGTTCCCAGAAAGTGTGTTAGCTACAAAGCTAAAATAGTAGTGTAACTATATACCTATAATATTTCAGTCCTACTTTTTTTTGGACAATTTAATAAAAAAAACAAAAAAAAAACACAGGCATTGCTCTGTGGCACAAAATTTAGGCAAACTAAGTGCAGACATTAATTAATTTGTTACACATTTCTTTAAATATGTTGGGGAAAAATAGTTACTATTTTCTGGTTTGTAATTGTAGATCTTTAAATTGGGTTGGGCAATTTAAGCAGAGCCAAAAGTCATTCTTCAGATGTGCTGACAGCTGGATGGCTACACTCTTAATCTGCATCCTTAAAAAAAAAACAGTTTAATGCAGTATTTATACACTGTAAAGTTTGCTACAGTGATTTTTTTAAAGTTAAGCTTTTTAAAAGGGTTTCCCAAACTGAAACCCCTCCTTATGTTCCTTATCAGCCAATTTCAAAAATAAAATAAAATTGAGAGTGTGAATATGGGAAGTGCTCCAGGGGTTCTACATGACGCCCAAGACATGACAAAAGGGTCCCTCACACTCACTAGAGGACACAAGTTGCCTTCTTGAGAAATAATTTATTTTTTAAAAAATGAGAGTGTTTGGGGATGCGGGGGACAGAGATCCCAAGGGGGCTTCCTCTGGCCCATGAGCCACATTCTGCCTACCCTTATTCTAGACAAACAACCTCAATATTCACATTCATCTTACAGAATTACCCATCATATCTTTCAGTCATTACACTCCTGGAACAAGCAATGTTCCTTCTGAGATTTCAACTAGTTTGCATCTTTTGTAAATGAGAAGGAATTCAGAAACAATATGTCCCAAGGTTAAAATTAAGAAAAACTCAACAGAATGTTTAAAGGCCAGGAATTACAAGAAGAAATCTAGATTCAGTGCAAAACCTTAATTCAGCCCATTTCCCATACACATTTTGGTTAATCTTTAATTCTATGGTTGTATGTTTATTTGAATTATGATAAGGATGTACTTCTCTAGACCTTAGGCTCAGATTTTCTTTTTAACAAAGGGGAAATCTGGGAAGCTTCTCTTCTAAAGTGCTAATTGGATTTCAGCTGCTCCTAATTTGAGTTTCTTCTCTGTACCTCATTTCCTGCTTTGGCTGCAGTTTACTTAGGTATTGCTGCTGGCAGTAATCTGAAGAGCCCTAAAAAGCAGTGTGCATTTGTGTTGAAGATTTCCCCTGAAACACCTGGGAACTGCCAAATATAATTGTTTGCAGCTGGTTCTGTATGCTTAGTGAGTGTGTAAAGTATGTGTAGGTGCTGGTAGAAAATGGTAGATGGGCAGCGATTACTCACTGGCCAGGTTTGCTGCCTTGCTATTTTATTATCCTATTAACTTTCCTAACTCAGGTTATAAAGGCTCATTTGCTGCCTTTCACAAGCTCAGTCTACATTCTGGGAAGGATCTGAATATGATCCGCTTACTAAACAGCTGATGGAAAGCCATTTGCCTGTATTTCTTCATGACTAATGAACCTATATATTTTAAAGTGAGGACGTGTTAAAAGGGAGAACACTTTCATAGACTGAAGATTATTATTTTTTTAGATAAAATGTTTGTTGATGGATTCTTTCCAAGTACTTGTCTTTGCATGCCAATCAAACTGTAGCAAGTATAAAGACCGTTGTTCTTTTCCAGTAATCTGTGACAAATTCTCGGCTTTGATGAGTGAGGTCTATATGTAGACCTGTTTTTCAGGGGCATTTGCAGAAAGGCTGATGACAAGCCCACACTGAAAATAACTGGCTAAGGAGATGGCAAATGAGTAAAGTATCTTGTGGCTTCCTGTTTTTTGTAAGACATGTATTGGGGAAAACCAAAAGACATTCCAAAAAACCAGCTTAGACAGTTGACTAAACAAAGCCAGGAGGGCATAATTATCAGAGGTTGAGGATATCCCTTAGTGCTTTTAAAATTCTTCCATTCTCCCCCCTCTCTTGTGTTCTGTTCTTGATTTGCTTTGTGGAAATTCTAACTCCCATGCAAGCTTGAATGTATGGTACAGATTTGCTTGCTCTTGTGTTATCTTCTCTCCCATACATTCACAACCATCCTTCTTTATTATAGTTTTCCAGGTAAGAATTTGCAGCGGAGTCACAGCAGTGCCTTACAGCCTCATTGAAGTAACCCCAATTTTCCATTCCAAAGGCCTCCCTTCCTTTACCCATTCCTCGTGTCTCTTACCCCCAATCCCATTTCCAGCCATATCACCAAATTCAGTCTTCTTGCTTTCATACCCTCTACAAGTCATGCTATAACTGTGAACCATGTAACTAGAGAATGATTACTTTCCAGACCTGTCGAGCAAGAATTTTTAAAAAAACAAAATACAATTTTAACTGGAGCACTTCTAATTTTCTTGCCTCCTCTCAAACTTTCCAGAGGCTTCCTGCGCACTCACCTCTACCAGTGCTGTAATGTTGTAGCTTATCGCTGTAAACTGCCTCTTTGCTGTAGGCTCGCTTCCTAGTGGGGAAAAAAAGAGTAAATATTAGTTCAGTCAGTGCCCAAGCAATATACATTTACAGAGATCTTTTTGGTACAAAACCAGCCCAATAAGGGGTCTTTTTGGTACAAAACCACCCCACAGGAGCCTAACCCTGTCTGGTAGTGATTCACAGGTTTTGTTTGCTTTTATTACGTCAGTATCTAACACCTCAATCGAATATGTGGGTTTGTTGAGGCTTACTCTTTAGTGAGGATGTTAAATTTGTAGCCCAACACCTTCAACTGAGGCCACGTTAAATGTTCCCCTCTGGGGAATAAACTCCCCCCAAATTGCCCTAGTTGTCCTTTTTCTACCTTTTCCCCCTATTATTCTTTTTCGCTCCTACCTTCTGAGTTTTTCCTACTAGTCACTGGAACTGTTTAAAACATCTCACTCAGAAACACATATTAGCCAAATCCTCTTCCTTAGTATAGTAAATTGCACCAGAGCAGGCTGACTCAAGAGTAGTCAATGGGCCCATTCTAACTGTGACTTTCTAGACTAAAGTAAGTTGTACTTACAATAGGCCCATTTCAATCAATATAACTTATGAAGCAGGTAGCTCAGAGTAGGTCCATTGCCCACTGATGCAAGGGACCTACTCTGGAACAATTTACTGTGCTGAGCAACCGAATTTTGGCCACTGCCACTTACAATTGGGAAAAATCTTGGTATAGATTTCAGCAACTGAGTTAAGAGCAGTGCAATCATAATTCAAAGATCCACTAGTCATAAGGGGTTAGCACCTTCTGCCAACAGAACACTCTTCTGCCAGCTGATCTCAGAGATCTGCCAACAGATATATCTGACAGCAGAATGGCTTTGCTGGTTAACATCTGCTGGGAGAAGAGACAAAAAGGGAGAGAGATATGAAGAAATGGTGAGGCAATGATAGACCTGAGTTATGTCAAATCTAAATGTCCTTTAACAAAAAGAAATAGCTACAGTGGTAGCACAAAGTTAGAGCAGATCACAGCTGACTGCTCTGGCAAAAGAGGTGGGAAGATGAGTCTCCCCGCTCAGCTGCTGAGAGGTCAGCCGAGGGGAGAGGTAGGACTATTTCAGCATTTAGTGAAATAATGCTGCCATTACACATGTGTGCTGAAAAGCAGCCCGGTAAGTGGACCAGGCCGGTTCTGCCCCCCAAAATGGACCCTATGGCACCCCCCCCCCGGGATACACATATGAAGTTCCCATGTTTAAATTGAATTTAGGACAGCCTTAGCTGGCCTACTGCAAGGTCAGCCAGCTCTTGGACAGTTAGGATTGCATTCTAAAGGAGCAGCAGGGAGGCAGTGGGAAAATAAAAATTTCATACCAGGATTTAAAGCAAAAACCAAAGCTTGCTGCTTGTATACCACCTCATAGTGCTCAAGGCATTCTCTGGGAAGTTTAGAATTATGCAGGCTACACATTGCCACCCCTGCCCCCAGCAAGCTGGGAACTCAATTTACTGACCTCAGAATGGAAGGCTGAATGAACTTTGAGCTGGCTACCTGGGATTGAACCTAGGTTATGGAGCAGAGGTGGCTGCAGTATAGCAGTTTAACCACTGTGCCACGAAAACTCCTTACCACAAACTTCTATGCAAAGTAGATGGAGGGATAAAGATAAGGAGGAATGCAAAGAAAGACCAATCTGGTCCTAATCATGATGATACCCAAACACAGGATTGCTACATGCCATAAATTAAGCCTTCCAAAGGAAACCCATATCAGAATATTTTTGGTACATCTATGTGGGTTGCATTTGGCATGAACATGGGAGGCTTCTCTATAGCAGCTCCCAGATTCTGAAACTTCGTCCCATAGGAGGTCAGGCTGGCCCCATCTTTGCTGTCCTTCTGCAAGCAGGCAAAGACCTTTCTCTTCAGGCAGCCTTTCCTTTGAATGATTGGTAGACCAAGGAGATTTTTGAAGGAGCATTTTATTCTGTGTTTCACTTGTGTTTTCAATATTGTTCTTATTACGAGTTTTAATATGGTATTTGTTTAATATTTTTGTACTATTGTAATAATTAATTGTTTGGCTTTTAACTTTGTTTCTTTTAAATACTGTAAGCCACCTTGTATACTCCATAATTAATTGTTTGGCTTTTAACTTTGTTTCTTTTAAATACTGTAAGCCACCTTGTATCCTCCAGCAGGAAGGAAGGCAGGAAGGCAGGAAGGCTAAATAAATAAATAGATAAATAGATAAATAGATAAATAGATAAATAGATAACTAACTAACTAACTAACTAACTAACTAACTAACTAACTAAATAAATAAATAAATAAATAAATAAATAAATAAGTGGGTCAAGCTAAGGCCCAATACTGAAAAGGTGGCACATACAGGGAGGAAAGCCTTCTCACAGTGGAAACTGTTAAATGCAGACTGACATGACCCATATTGGGTTTTTGTGATCCAGCATTTCTCAGTAACTTGAAATATTCTTGTTTTTTAAAAAAATAGTAATTAATTACTTGGTTTTTTAAAAATATCATTTAGTAAATCCAAAATAATTGTGGATTTTTTTTTTTGAGCAGCTGATGGTCGTTCTTCAAAAAGTAACACATTTCTATAATTTAAATTTAAAAACAGGAAAAGAATACAAAAATGGCCCCGAAATATAAACTGTCTTAGGTATAATAAGCATTAATCAAAAGTACGATTTTATGCTTAGCTTACCTGGAAAAGTTACATATTAATGGGTAATGTTATTTTAACACATTGCTTGGAAAGCTTTACATTTCTCATGAGAGAAGTACACAGTATTCTGTCTCTGTATGTGAGACTATTTTCTAACTGGAACATTTACGCTTCATAAAAAGGCACAACTCTATCTCCACAAACTAAAATTTCACCCACACATTTTCTGATTGGTAGATTGTGTTACAGTAATCTCTACAAAGCAAAGCTGCTCAGCAGAAAATGTGCATATTTCCACAGTCTCGTTCAGGTAAAAGTTTGGAATGAAAAGGAAAACCGACATTTAGAGTGGTTACCTGCTGCAAACAATTGAAATAGCCACCAAGGAGACAATAAAGACAACTCCTGCTGCTGCAGACCCAGCAATCAAAGGCAGTTGTTCTCTCAGTTCTGACTTGTAGTCATCTGAAAAAGATAAGGGCTCTGTAATTTTCTACCTTGCTCATTGCTAACAGTAAATCTCTGTTATTTATTTACTGCATTTATCTATCACTGTTCTTCCCAGGAGTTCAGGGTGACATACACATTTAATCCTAAGACTGGTGATCCCATTTAACCCTAGAACTTGTTATTAAATCATATAACTTGTAAAACAATGCTAGCTAACCGTGGTTTTCTCAAGGCCAGTGAGTTCCATGGCTGAGTAGGAATTGTCTTTCCATCCAAAACTCAAGAGTCATATTCTGCCATGCCTGTTCTAGAGCAGTGGTTCTTAACCTTTGTTACTCAGGTGTTTTTGAACTGCAGCTCCCAGAAACCCCAGCCAGCAGAGCTGATGGTGAAGGCTTCTGGGAGCTACAGTCCAAAAACATCTGAGTAACAAAGGTTAAGAACCAGTGTTCTAGAGCAGTGGTCCCCAACCTTGGGCCTCCAGATGTTCTTGGACTACAACTCCCAAAAGCCTTCACTACCACTTCTGCTGGCCAGGATTTCTGGGAGTTGAAGTCCCAGAACATCTGGAGGCCCAAGGTTGGGGACCACTGTTCTAGAGGATCTCTGAGGCCTTATAAGAATCTTTGTAATATAGCAAGTTGTGTTATGGAGGCAGAGTAGCTAAGCTGATATGTAACAGTAAAACATACTTAGCACTATGAGAAAAAGCCTAGAAAAAAAAACCTCAGATACTCATATTCCACTTTCATTCTGTTCTTCCACTCTCAGAAGAATTACTTAGTGGCTGAAATTCTGTTGTACAGTTTTGTCTCTATGGCAAGTTTGATAGTCCAGAGTGGATTGTTCTTGACTAGAGACTTCTTTTTTCTATTTCAGGGTGCACATGAATGCATGTATGCAATCTGTGTACACCCTGGAACTTAAAAAAAAAATCTTTAATCAACAGTAACTTCTTGCTGTTGATGACATCATTCCTGTTGCACTAGTTGAGCTTCACAACAAGATTGTGGCTGCTGAATTTATTTTTAGCAAAGCTCAGTTTGCCATTACATCTGAATGGACACAATATAATTTGCATTTATTGGCAAACCAGAATTGCAATCCAGGACCAAACTCCAGGAAATAATATCCTTTGTAACATCTTCTCCTTTCCTGTATGAAGCATTCAGATAAAGGGCACTATCCCATTGCAATTTTACCACAATAGTCCTATGGACAACATTAACAAATTAATATAATTAATATTATCACACATCTTTTGATCATTCTGCCTCTAATGGCTCAAAATAAATTTAGAGAAGTAGAAATGTTTCACGCCTCCTTTTAATTTTCTTATTCTCTTTTGCAGTTAATTACTGGTGACCTGTATTATCTGAGGTCTAATACCTAAATTCTGAACAAAATCTCATCTAACAATCAATTATTATTTAATAATCCACTATATCCGTTCTTGTTAGATTTCAATTAGCTGCTTACATTTCAGAATATGATCCATGCCTGTCTAATTGAAAGTATGAAGGAAACTCATTTTAAAAAAACGTCAATTTATTCAGTCATATTGTCCATGTACATGCTCCTCATTTCCTTATTCAATTAGATTACTCTGACTCTAGACAATGATCGTTTTGTAGTGAAGCTGACTTAGTTACATTTTGAGAGTTAAAGCGTTTCATGGTGTGAGCCACTAGAGTGAGGAAATTATAGCAATGAAAAAGCTCACTGAGATATACCACCTCTCAAAGCATAGGTATGGCAGAGGTACCTTTGCTCTGTGGTACTTCACTGTTGAGGAATCAAACCATTCACACAATACTGGTTACCTGTTTTCCAAGGATGGAAACAACACTAATTCTTCATTCTCATTGCTTTTAGGCTATCTCAACTTGATCAGACAACCTAATGAATAATTTTACAGCCCCATACGTTTCCTCACCTTTAAGTAACAGCAAGATAAAAGAGTACTATTTTATTCACTCTCTGTAAATTGTGCAAGTTGCTGCACAAACCTAACATCCTTTTTCTTCAAGAACCAAAGTACACACATACAGCAAGCAAAGGAGAACCCACTGATAGTTAAACAAAGACTCAAAAAACTCTCTCCCTTCCCCCTCCTATTTTTCAACCCTTTATAGGCCATGAAACAAAGCAGAAGCTATTGACATTCTGTGTTATTTACACGAAAGTGCTGCTTCTGCTGTGTTATTTCTGCAGTTTTATTTATTGTATACGAGAGATGGGGATGAAGCACCAAAATGGCACTTCATCTTGGTTTCTGGGTAGTCAAACTTGACGACCCATGAATCACAAATTACCCCTCAGTGACCTGATGAGCAACAAATCAATTTGTCATTTGTCGGGTCATTTTTTACCCTTTCCCTCCTCTTGCTATGTCCTGTGTGGCATAGCAAGAGGTAGGAAAGCAGGGATCAAAGCAATCATGCAGCGGCTGGGGGATCCCTTTGATCCTTCCTTGATCCCTTCCCTCCTCTTCTTATGCCATGTGGGCATAGGAAGAGGAGGAAAGGGGAACCAAGCCATCCCCCAGCCCCGGGGGTGCGATTCCCTTCAGGCAGGCTTTAGCAAGCCACTGAAAAGGAAAACCCATCTCTGCTTATGCCCCCTAGGAACAGCTGATCGGTGGGGGCATAAGCAGATAGGGAAGGAAGAAACTGATATAAAAGGGTTATATTCATTGATTCATATTCGTTGGCATCTCTGGACCTTAAGAATACGAAGCAACGAATATCTGGCAAATCAGGGATATTTAATGAATATCCTGATTCATTTTTATATTTGTCCTCATATCTAGTGTATACACAAAAAAGTTATTATTCTCTTCTGTTGCTGATAGCACCGATATTTAATTTTGGCTTTTCACAGGGTGAAGACAATAATGTCATGACACCCTGTTCTTGAGTGCAAGAATGAGTCAAGGAAGGCTTTACATCACTACTTGTTTCATTTTTCTCTACGGCTGTGGTGACCTGATCCATCTTCTTCTCTATGGCTGAATAAGAAAGGGCTGGCCATCGGAGTAAACTCAGGAGTACAATTGTACCCACCCACAACTGCCGTTCAGCCTTTTAAAGAAAATGTACATTTGTACATAGTCATTCATTCCTACTGTGTTGCGGTACGCTGCTTAAATAAACTGAGTGTAGTCATGAAACCTTAAAGTAGTGCAGATCCCTGCTTCATCTAGACCCAGAAAGGGATTGTATAACTGTTGCGATTAACATAAGGAAGGCGTTGCAGTGATACAATCAAAAGACACTTTCAAAGATAATCTAGCCGTGAAATATTCATCTAAATGTGCTTAGTGTTTTCATCTGCTTGGTATGAGTACAGAGGAAGTAATGGCTTGCTTACACTATAATTCCATAGACATTCTCTCTTATACAAAATATTCCTCTCTGCTGAATGCATGATAGGCAGACCATTACTCCAACACAGAAGGGTTCTGCTTATGTCTCTGCTGCTGGGAAACAAACATTCAGAACCTTTTCACATACAGAAATCATTTTTTTTTTTAAAAAAAAAAGACACTTACATGGTCAGGATAGAAGCAGAGATAAGAGATTACAGCCAGATTAGTCCTCCAGCTGACAATTAATCAAACATCTCTGCAAATCGCCTGGCTCTCACCACGCTACCCCACTGGGAGGCAAGGGTTTGGAGAGACAAGTTGATTTAATCCAATTATAGCTTAGAAGACTGACAAAGAATGCAACCTCTTTCTCTCTCACACACAGCTCCACTCCCTGCTCTTTTTCTCTCTCCTTTTGTTGCTGCACACACTCACCATCTGTAAGGGTTTGGAAGCACATTTTTCCACTGTATTTCCCATAGCCAGCGACAGTTCGGGCTCGCACCTGTACCACGTATACCATTCCGGGTCGCAGCCCATCAATTCGGGCTGTGTTGGTCTGACTCTTGGCCATGGAGGAGTTGTACTCATTGTGGTCCTTCAGAGAACAGTAAACGGAAGAGGCAAAAAGGTATCAATCCAAGGGAAGAAGAAAAGTGCTTCTAAGATCTATTCTTCTCCTGATAAGTCATCAAAGATACAATGGCAGTGAAAAGCAACATGAAGATTTTTCCTTTCATTCTCTTTCAACAAAGCCAAGAAACATGCTAGCAATGACTTTTTTGCAGGTTTCTCATCCAGCCTGAGCATGGGATGCAACAGAACAATGATGGTTAATGGCTGGGATGAATCTAGGACACCTAAGCACTCTTACAAGATTTGTCCTTTCTGGCAAGGATGGAAGAAGTTAGGGCTTTCCATATAACCACAGAGTGCACAAACTACATGTTCATTCTCTCATTTAATTTTTTTCCAGTATAGTTGTGTGGAAATAACTTTTGGAATTTTCCAACCTATTTGTGGCCAGAAAAATTTGTATCATTGTTCAACAAACTCTCTAGGAGAACGGCCTTCAGCAGTTTCTCCAAGCTTGGCTCATCATTAGCAGTGGCCGCAACAGTGCCACTTTTTTGGCCAACTGCAAGTGGCCATAACAGCACCTGTGGAGACAGTCTTTGCTGCCATTTTTAAACCTCCACAATGTTCCTTATTTAGTATCATTCTAGGATACTATGGTGGTGGGCTGGCAAAATATCACCAAAAATATCATGAAATTCTTTAGAATTTGGTACACTCCTTAACATTTCTGAATGCATTTTGAGGGGTCATCATATATATTTTTTGTCATGACTACAGGTGCTCATAATACAGCTTCTTCCCTCTACGCCTGTAGCAAGTAAAAATGAGGGCAGTATTGTATCTGGTTCCAAGAAAAAGGTGTGTCAGAACTTGTCTTCCAGTTTCTCAAAAGTGTTTTTCATCCCATGGAAGAGGCATCTCTTTTTCTGTCTGATTCTCAGGGGCCTTTACTAGTCCTTTTCTTTGAAATTTTCAGTTGATTGTTAACACTGCAAGATGGCCAGAAGTGCGTCTTTTTTTCTCCTTTATCAGTCTCTGCCTTCCCTGGCTGTCCACGCTTTCCGATCTGAAAAAAATCACCATGGGAGAATGTACTTCCCCTTGGCTTTAATTAAACTGGGGGAGCAGTCAGTTAACACAGGAATTGTGCAGTGAGAGGCTAACTCAAAATCCTGAATTGACCATGATAATTTCCCATCTTTTCCCCTCTTTTGAAATTCTTTTTAAATGACATTTCTTTTCTCTATCAAATTGAATGAAAATGGTTGAACTTCTCATGGCAGAAATCTCTGGCACAGCAAATTTTTAAGTAATAGTGATATTACTATTAATATACAGTGGTGCCCCGCATAGCGAGGTTAATCCATCCCGGATTAACCGTCGCTATGGGGAAATATCGCTATACAGAACGGAAAACGCTATAAAAACACATTAAACCTAGTTTAATGCATTCCTATGGCTCTTAAACTCACAGTTCTGTGAAGTTTTTCCATAGCGCCGCCATTTTCATGCCCTCGGTAAGTGAGGGCTGTGACAAACCCAGACCTACTGGGATCTGCCACACGTTAACTAAGCTGCCACCAACCATTCCCTATAAGAAGTCACACAGACCAGGGATGGATTTTTAAACAAATAAAAGAACAAGGTTTATTTAAATCACACACAGGCAAAATAAAATGATCAGGTGAATAAGATATAGTAACGTGGCTTAGTTTCACTCATACATACACACAGGTTGGTTCACACAGAACCCTTAACTTGAAGCACAGACCCTGAACCTATCAGTTCTGGCTAACCAACAGACACCTGAACCTATCAGGTTGGTACTCTGACACACAGTAGTACCCTGTCTGACACACAGACTCCCACACCAGCTTCTTCTTCCCAGCTGCTGCTTCGTCACATCCCAGCGTCTAAACTTCTCCACACACGCATCACATATATATACAGTACAGCCCCTCCTCCTGATGTCCCGCCTTCCACTCCCCATAGGATGGAACTTTCCCTCCAAACCCATGACAGACAGGTAACATCAGTGCTGTAGGTAACACCTCCCCTCTTTATAAGTTGTTTTGTAGGGGGAAAGCTAACGTGCTTTTCACCAAAAAACAACCTGGATAAAACACACAACAACAGTTATACATACCATATCATACTTACTTATACTTACATTCTAAGTTAACCATAGCAATTAGGCATTTAAACATTTACCATATACATTACATCAATTTACCTTTATTCATACAAACCAAGTTCAAAAAACAGGTACATTTAACTTTTTGTCATCAATATATATACATAGTCCATGTTTCTTTCGCCGTCTTCATTCTTCAGGTCTTCTTGACAAGGCGTCAGCAACACAGTTCACTGACCCTCTGACCACCTTCACTTCAAAGTCATAGTCCTGTAGGTTTAAAGCCCACCTCATAAGTTTGCTATTGTGGGTTTTCATTGTCTTTAACCATTGCAATGGTGAATGGTCAGTACACAGAATAAAATGTCTTCCCCAGATGTAAGGCTTGGCCTTCTGGATCGCGTAGACTATGGCCAAACACTCCTTCTCCACGGTTGCCAAATGTCTCTCACCTTTTTGAAGTTTCCTACTCAGGTAGGACACTGGATGCTGGTCACCATTCTCATCCTCCTGGCACAGAACTGCTCCTACCCCGCTGTTAGACGCATCGGTGTAGATGATGAACTCCCGGTCGAAGTCTGGAGCACGCAGCACTGGATAGTTGATGAGCGCCTGCTTCAACCTCTGGAACGCCTCCTCACAGTCGCTGGTCCACGGGATGCGGTCATCAGCCGTCTTCCTCGTCAGATCGGTCAGCGGAGCCGCAATCTCGCTAAACCTCGGGATGAACTTTCTGTAGTAGCCCACCAACCCAAGAAATGATTTGACTTTTTTCTTGGTGTTGGGTCTAGGCCAATCACGAACAGCTTCTATTTTGGCCTCCAGGGGTTTTATCATTCCTCCCCCTACCATGTGACCCAAGTATTTTATTTCTGGGCTACCCAGCTGACACTTGCTGGCCTTTACCGTTAGCCCTGCTGCACTTAACCTCTGCAGCACTAACTCCAGGTGTATCAGGTGATCTTCCCAGGTATTACTGAAGATCCCTATGTCGTCAATGTAGGCCACTGTAAAGTCACTGAGCCCTGCCAAGGTCTGGTCCATCAGCCTTTGGAATGTGGCTGGTGCATTTCTGAGACCAAAGCTCAGGACTCGAAACTCATAGAGACCAAAAGGGCTGCAAAAGGCAGTCTTTTCTTGATCCCTGGGATCAATTCTTAATTGCCAATATCCCTTTACCAGGTCCAATGATGAGATGAACCGACAACCCCCTATGGTTTCAATCAGGTTGTCTAGCCTGGGCATTGGGTAGGCATCAGGAGTGGTTACACGGTTTAACTTCCTGTAATCAACACAAAACCTAATGCTCCCATCAGGCTTGTCCACAAGGACTATCGGAGAGGACCAAGGACTAGAAGAGGGGACGATTATGTTCTCCCTAAGCATCTCGTCCAGCTCCTTCCGCACCTTGTCCCTATAGGGTCCCGTTACTCGGTATGGGGATACTGCCTGCGGGGGTGCATCCCCTGTGTGGATCCGATGCATCACTCCCTTCACTATCCCCGGCTTGTTGGAAAACACCTGCTGATATTTACTAAGCAGCATTTTTAATTCTTGCTGCTGGTCTTGGGTGAGTGCAGGACTGATATTGACCTCCTCTGGGTTGTATTTTACTTCCCCTCTACCCTCCCAGAAGGGTAATTCAGCTTCCTCACTCTCAGCTGCTTTTATAGCAAATAGAACCCTCTGTTCCCCTCTGTAGTAGGGTTTTAGGGCATTCACATGAACCACCCTCCTTGCTTGGTTCTCCTCCTGCTCTATAAGGTAGTTCAGGTCTGACATCTTGGAAATGACCCTATATGGTCCTGCCCATTTGAGCTGCAGCTTATTCTCTCTGCAGGGCCTAAGCCAAAGCACTTCCTCCCCTGGGTCAAAGTGCCTCTCTCTAGCTTTGCGGTCATACCATGTTTTCTGTTTGACCTTCTGCGCTTGCAGGTTTTCTGCTGCCAGCTCTAGATTTCGCTTTAGGTCATTCATCAAGGTGTCTATGTATGTCACAACGTCTAGTGGGTCATCCTGGGTGATCTGCTCCCAATTTTGTTTGATCAAATCAAGGGGCCCTTTCACCCGTCTCCCAAATAGAAGTTCAAATGGACTAAACCCGGTACTGGCTTGTGGCACTGATCGATAAGCAAACAAAAGGGATTGCAGCTTCTGGTCCCAATTGTTTGGATTCTCTGCCAAGTAAGCCCTAATCATGCGCATTAGAGTCCCATTGAACTTCTCAGTTAACCCATTACTTTCAGGATGATAGGCAGTGGTTTCCTTGTGCTTAATTCCACAGATCTGCCATAAGCGTTTCATGAGCTTTGATGTGAACGATGCGCCCAAATCTGTGATTAGCTCTGAGGCAAATCCCATCCTGGACATATACCCCACCAAAGCATCGGCCACTGTGTTAGTCTCAATGTTAGTCAAGGGTATGGCTTCAGGGTACCTCGTGGCATGGTCCACAATGGTGAGAATGAACCTGTTCCCCCTCTTTGTGGCCTTGGGCAAAGGTCCCACAATATCCACCCCTATGCATTTGAACGGAGTGTCAATCACAGGCAAAGGGCACAACTTTGCTTTGGTCCTGTCGCGGCTATTCCCCTGCCTTTGACACACATCACATTGTTTACAGAACTCCCTGATCTGCTTCCCTATGTCAGGCCAGTAAAAATTCTGTGTGATTCTCTGCTGTGTTTTGTTCACCCCTAAGTGCGCAGCAAACATGTCAGAGTGCCCCCTTTGTAAGATCATGGGGCGATACTTTTCAGGTACCACCAGCTGACTTCTGATCCCATCTCCCCCTTTTGAGATATTCCTCAGGGTCTCTCTATACAAAATCCCCTTTTTCTCCAGAAATCTCACTGGGGTTTCAGGTGTTAGCTGGGCGTCAGTCA